GCTGTCATCAGGAAAGTGAGTTGTTCTTCCTCAGCTCTTCTGACTCCCCTTTGCTTTCCTCCTGTTCTCCTCTATAATTCTTCAGGTTAATGGTATCTTTGCCCTTTTATTTCAGAAAGCAAAATTTAAATTTGTCTGCTTATGTTAAGGATATTTAGAGTGAATGTCATGCCAGCAGAATACATAGAGCAATTGTTGGAACCCTCTCCAAAATACGTGCTTGCCTCCTCGCAGTTTTGAAGTTGGAGATCCACATTAACTTTTTTTTTTTTCCACTTTGTGCAACTGGGAAGTGGGAAATATTGTCACCAGCTGTGTCATCTGGCAGCTCAGAGCAATGACAGCAGGAACTGCACAGCTGATTTGTGTACGTTCACAAACAGCTTAGTGTCGAGGCTGAGTGTTTATCAGCTGCCTTTAAGTAACTAGCCAGTCTGCAGTGAAGAACAGTTTATCTCTGAGGATCAGTTTTTCAGTTTAAAGTTCCTGTGGTGGGATTGCTTGGGGAGATTTCTTGAGATCAGGAATACCTTAGTTTTTTTGGGAAATTTTTACTAAAATAATTTGTGGAGTGTAAGCCCCTCCCCTGGTGGAAGGACAAGTGGGGATCTTCTAACTTCACGTGCAGGTGGGAGTAAGTAGTTATGTTCTAATCAAGACATATGGCTTATTTTACACATAGGGTAAGCTAGAGGATCGGAAGCCTCTGATGGTCTTGTTTGGAGACGTTGCCATGCACTACATTCTCTCTGCTGCCCAGTGAGTACTGTCCTGCTGCTTTAATTTCACACTAAACTGTATGCAAAGGGCTTTATAGATATGCTTTGCAAAAGACACTGCTGCTCAACTACAGGAAGCTGGGACTGGACTAGGAGCGAAGAAAACCACCATTGCTTTTGCAAAACCTGAAAAGTGGCAAGTTTTTTCAAATCCCATAATTGAAGGACAAAGTGGTGTAAATATCACAGCTTCCCCAGCTTTTTCATCTAACCTGAAAGTGACTAGGAGGGACTCTTTTAGAGAGACAATTTCAGAGGTTTTAGATGCCAATAAAGCAGTGCTTCTTGATAATAGCAAAGAAAATCCCACTGCAATAAAATCAAATTGCTCTAGTCCTCTTTTTATCTACAAGATAGATAGCAATGTGCCTTTTACCTACAGTGTGAGTAACTGTGATCCTGTTTTTCCATCTCCCCTCATTCCCAGGACAGCAGATGGAGAAGGACTGGTGGAGAAGCACTATGTTTTCTTGAAGAGACTTTGCCAAGTTTTGTGCGCATTGGGCAGCCAGCTATGTGCGTTGCTAGTAAGTCTCTACTTATACCAGCAGCGACCCTGGCAAGGCTAGTTTTTAGGGTGGTGGTGAGGCAACTCTGATCTAAAGTGGGACCAGGGTTCTCTCTGCACATGTGGTAGCCGTGGGTTTATCTCCACGCATTTGGTAGAGGCAGAAATGGTTCTGCTTGCAAGTGGGATAACTATCCTGCCAAGTCCTAGGGATGTAGAATGGAGGGATCCTGACTGATTCCAGGCCTCTGCTGTCATCAAAAATCATCTCCTATAATCTCTGTAAAATGCTGAAACTTAATTGAAAATTGGTCGAGTTTCTTGCCGTCTACTGCTACAGAAAAACTACTCCAGGAAATGACTCCTGGAAGCCTTTAATTTTCCTTATTGAAAATAACTCAAAGAATATAGTTGTTTGTTCTTCTGCCAAGATTCTCTCAGGATGAAGGAAGAAATAGGTGTTGTTCCTGCTGTTCACCTTGCTGATGCTTTGTGTCAGTGCTGAGATGAAGATGCACACAGATGCTTTGCATGCCGTGCTGGCTGCTGAATTCCTGCTCCCTCTATTCAGCACAGTGCTTCTACAGGAAGGAAGGCAGTCTTGTTCAGAGGTGCTGTTCATAGGTAGGCAAATGATAGAGCAGAGTAAATTCTCACAGGGAGGGAAATTAAAAAGAAAACAACCCCCCCTTTGAGAATTTATCAGTAAAAAGAATGGACAGCGAAAAAAGGAAGGGTGTGTTACTGCTTTCAGTGACTTCACTTGCCGTTGGGCAGTGGGAGCTGTTAGTCCATAATGAAGTAATGAGATGGGGATTTGAGTCCTCTCATCCAGATTCGCTCAGGAGAGGAAGCACTGAGCTGTGCAGCTCCAGAACAGGGATCTTGAGGTCATATTATGGTTAGTGAGGAGCAGCAAAACTTTGAATTTAGGGCTCCAGATTAAACTTATTTTCCTGACAGATTTCCCAGAAAGTTATTGATAAGAGATGTCCATACATTAAATGCAGGAAACAGTTCGAGGAATGGGGGTGAAATCATCTGGGAGTATTTGCTTGTGAAATTCTGCAGTCTGGAGTTGCAGATTGCTACACTTCGGTACTGCTGGGTGGGCTTGACCCAATAGGAGTAAAATTGTGACTTGTGGCAGCAGCAGTTATGCATTTGGTTTTAACAGAACTCTGGTAGATGAGAAATCAGCATTTTCTCTTGACTGAGGGTGATGCTGTCTCCAGCACGCCAAGGCTGGTCAGCAGAATTTGCTGCTCCTCAGGCTAGACTGCTTTCAGTAAAAATCACAGTGGTTCAGTGTTTTTGTCTCTGCTCCTTTACAGCCTGTGGCCTTGGATGTAGTGTTCCTGCTTTAACCAGAGACCTACCACTTGTGAGCCCAGTGTGACACAGAGTTAGAATTCTGTCTGAAGTTGTTTTTCTTCCTAATAGGGCTCAGATTCTGATGTGGAAACACCAGCCAACTTTGGAAAATACCTTGACTCGTTTTTAGCCTTCACAACCCATCCCAGCCAGGTATGTAAAGGGCTGAAAGTCTCATGTATGTTTATGTGGGAATGTGTGAATGCATAATTTAACTAACATATAGAAGACTGCAGAACTTCAGCTGCCAACTATTGCTCTCCATTTCAGCTGAAGACCTGGAAGGCAGAGTGGTTTCTCTTTTATTACCACCCCATATAAGGAACAACAGTGCCTGACACAGAGGTGCTGAGTAGGAAGTGCAGGATTTGCAATCAGCCCGAGTGTATTTACTTAGAGGCTTTTGGCATTCTGGAAGTTTGGGTTGTGCTTGGAGGGCGCTTTGGCCTCAGTTGAATAGTCAGTATAATTTGCTATTGCGTTCTGATAGCAACACTTTATGTTAGCAGTGGAGATTCCAGCACTGAAATCCTTTCTGTTCCTCTCTTGTCCCCCCAGTTTCTGCGCTCTTCCACCCAGATCACATGGGGAGCCCTCTTTCGGCATGAAGTTCTGTCTCGCGACCCCTTGTTGCTGGCTATGATTCCCAAGTATCTCCGTGCGTCTATGACCAACCTAGTGAAGGTAGGTGGGAACTGTGGCCAGACAGGTGTGAGGAGGTGCCTAAGTGAACACGTCCTGTGGATCCTGGGGAAGAAACTACATTTTTATTGTGTCTTCCAGAGACATGATCTCCAGGGTGCTGAGCAAACAACCCTGTCTCAGCATCCTACTCTCTTCTCCTTGCCTTCAGTCTTCATCTCCTTGAAGCTGCTGTTAGCTGTGATGGGTGAATTCTCTTCCTTCCTGACCTTGTCCACTCTGTCTCCAGGTGGGCTTTCCCTCTAAAACTGACAGCCCCAGTTGTGAATACTCCCGCTTTGATTTTGACAGTGATGAGGACTTCAATGCCTTCTTCAACTGTAAGTTGTCATCAGCCCGCGTGGAAGCTGTTGTCTGTTGCCTTTCCTCTTAACTTGCAGTTGCTGCCTGAACTTCGAGCCTACTGTGTTGGCTTGGCAGCGTCTATTTGAGTCTTTACCCTTTTCAGCTTGGATGTTGGAGTTAAATTAATTAATTTTCCTGTAGCAGCCTAGGTATTTCATTTTACGTACTTTCTGCTGTTATTTTGCTTGCTGACCAGGTAGGTGGCCTCATAGCGTTTGCTACCTGGTATCAAAGAAAATGTGCCTCTTGCTCACCTAGAGGAGGAAATGAAACAGCCTGGACTCCTGCTCAGGTTAGGAGAGGAAGGCACCTTACAAAAGACTTTAAATGTCATTCCAGGAAGAAAATCTGTCTTAGACCTGCTAAGAAGCTTCTGGTTCAGTACCAGTAGCTAGAGTTGAGCAATTAAAATAGCTAAATTTAATCATGATCTTAAGCCAGCAAACAGGGAACCCTGGGTATTAATAATTTTTTCTTTCTTTTTGTATTTTACTTCCCAAAACCGAGGTTGGTTCTCACTGGTTGGTGTAGTTTGGTACTTGCTTGGTGGCTGGCAGGATATACTTAATAAATTACTTAGATTCTTACTTTTTACATTTCGTTTGAAGATTTTAAGTGTTGCATTTTTTTAATTGCTTATTAAATAGTTTATTTTTTACTTACTGTAATAAATCTGTGTGGAAATAAAAAACTAGCTAAATGCATAAAGCCAAAAGTTGAAATAGTTTTAGGGAGTTAAATGATACTGACGGTATTACATATATAAGAAAATAAAACTGATGTATAACACAGAATAAAATTATTTGACAAAACAAGTTTCTTAAACAATGAAAGGTGCATCTGTGGTCAGCAGAGCTGATTCTTTTGTGGAATAATTTGGAACAAGGTAAATTGCTGTTCTGTACTTTGCTTTTAATATCTTTGAAATTGAAAACAAGACTTCTTTGGGTTTTTTGAGTTTGCATTAGTTTGTCAGCCTAGAATCTGAACTGAGTTAAATTGAATAATCTAGAAAAAGTGTGTTTAGCTGAAGGAAGAGGTAGTTCTCTAATGCTGTTTTTCTGTCTCAGTGTCTCAAGGTGCTTTGTAAGCAGCAAACATTGTATAGTTTGAAGAATTTTTAAAATTAAAAACAGAGGCTTAAGTGTAGCAAATCAGGGTTTAGCATAGATTTTCATAACTCATATTGCATTTTAATTGCACTTTTTATGTTAATCCATCGTTTTTTAGTCCATTTAAATCACTTCAAAAAAAATTGCCCGTCCTGTTACACGTGGTTTACTGTTTGTGTATCTGAGCTTACTGCACAGCTATTGCCAGAGCAAGAGTCTGTAATGCTCCCAGCTCTGCAAAGCTGCAGGTGAGCTTTGGGGAAGGGAGCATCAGCTTGTTGCATGGTGTCTGATTTTTCACTGCAGCATTCCGAGCCCAGCAAGGAGAGGTGATGAGGATGGCTTGTCGTCTAGACCCTCGAACTGGCTTCCAAATGGCTGGTGAATGGCTGAAGTACCAGCTCACAGCTCCTGTTGATACTGGACCCATGAACTGTAAGTTACCTGAAAAAAAATAGGGGTATGGGATTTGGTTTTTAATTCAACTGAAGAAGAAACTTCTTTGCCTTTTTTTTTTTCTTATTTTTTTTTAAGGGGGAGCCAAGACTCAACACTAGGCTTTCAGGCTTTTTAAGGTCTTTACAAGGTAAAAGCAAAATCAAATTAAGCCCACCCCAAATTTAGCCCTTTGCAGTCTACCTATGGAATAGCTAATGTAAAGTCCCTGGCTCCTCCTTTCCCTCCCCTAAATCTCTCTGCAGAACAGATGCAGCTGTCCCTCTGATAAAATTTTGCAATTACTTCGGCCATGTTATCTCTCTAACGTATTATTTTTGTTGAGGGAAGTTCTGCTTGTCTGGCAGATCCCTGTCAGTCACCTTGCTTTCCTCCTGTGAAGGAAGGCCACTTGGTGCTCTGCAAAGTCACACTGAGGGTGGGCTTGCCTGCAGTGCTGAGTCTGGGCATGTGCTCTCCCTCCTTTTCCCTTCTGTGATTTGTTGGTGTTGCTCCCTGTAGTATCTCAGAGATAGACGTGTGTCTCAGGAGCCCTCACCTGAATGAGGCAAATCACATGGGAGCACCTTAACTTCTCCTGGCACATCCCTGCTAGGCATCTGCAGGGAGAGCTGTGTGACCAAAATACTTGTGAGCGATAAGATGCTGCAGCGTGGGAGCTTATCAGCCTGGTGTTGTGCACGCAGGGAGGAGCGTGGTGAGAGCTCCAGTGTTCTCTTCCTTTCAGCTAAGACAGGCGAAGGTCTCTGCTCCATCTTCTCGCCATCCTTTGTGCAGTGGGATGCCATGACCTTCTTCTCGGAGAGCGTCATCAGCCAGATGTTTCGAACTCTGGATAAAGACGTATGTGTACCAGATGCTCTTTCCTGCTCTGAACCCCTCTTCTGGGTTGACAGGAGTGGGTTTTTTCAGCTATGTTGTCCTTGAAAAGTTTGTGGTATCCGGTTACCTCCATGCAAAAACCCAGATTGTTCAATGAGTGATTCTCATGAGGAGTAGTGACCGTTCTTTAGATGGGACCAAACTCATACTGGCTTACTCTGTGAGGCACATCTTGGTTCGGGACACTATGAAGTCTACACTTCTAGAAGTCGCAGGAGAGCACTCAGGTGGCATGCTTTGACGCAGTGCCTTGCTAGAGGAGAAGAGGCTTGCTTAAGCAGAAATTTTGTAAGTTTATTCTTTTAATCATCCCCGATCAGATTTTTAAAAAAGTTTTATTTTTAACTTTTAACTAAATGAGAGAAACTCATGCTCAGGGAGTAGAAGATCAGAAGCAATATCTCTCTGCTTTTTGTTCAACTGAAGGAAAACGTTTTTTTCTCAGTCTGATGTAGACTGACTTGGTTTTTTTTTATTAGATTAGGCCACTCATGCACTTTAGTTCATCATTCTAATCACAGTGAAATAATTTTTTTTTTAAAAATCAAAAATGTGTCAATGTAGTTGGTTAAGCACAGAGTCTATTGGACAGAGTGAAAAGGAGAATTGGGAGCCAAACTGAGAGAGAGGAAAAGTGCCTTTCCCAGAGGTACAAGCAGTATGATGGGACTTGAGATTGACATCTCAAGGCTACCCTACCAACAATGGCAATGCTGCTGTCCTTTTTCCTTCAGCAAGTACACACAGCGCGCAGTTAACTGAGGTTTCTACAGCTTTTCCTTCTGCTTTGAGAACCACTGTGTTCAGCTGAGAGGCCTGACATGATAGCAGCTCCGTGGCCTAGCTCTAGGGGTTGTAGGGTGTGTGCTACAGGCTGAGGTACTGAGTGTTGCCTCCTTTTTCCTTTCCTTCTGCTTTCCTTTTCCTGCCTCTGTAGGAAATCCCAGTGAATGATGGCATAGATCTGCTGCAGCTTGTCCTTAATTTTGAAACGAAGGATCCTCTCATCTTGTCGTGTGTGCTCACCAATGTCTCTGCTCTCTTCCCATTTGTCACTTACCGACCAGAGTACCTACCGCAAGTACTTTCCAAGGTAGATATATGCAGACCGTGCTAACATCAAGTAGGCTTTTTGTGGTGCAAGGCCCTTGTGCTAAACTGCAGGAGTTAATCTCTTGGCATTACTGTCAGGGAAGAACTATCCTTCATGTTAAAGATGGGTAAAACTGAGACTGAGTCTTGTTCAAGAAGATACAATGTCAAATAACACAAATTTTGCAGTTCCTAGCCTCAAATCTTAACATTCAGTGCATGCTCTGGCCGGTAAACACTGTGTTTTATTTCGAGGCCTGGCTGTGCTGATGATTCATCAGTCAACTTAGTCAAGGGTTCTTCACTGACGTTAATGAAATTGCACCAAAGTTTTACAATACATTCCTTGAGCTGAAAACACATGTTAGTGCTGTGTATTAACAAATGACATGAAGCTTTGGATTTTTCATCCCTTTTCTCACAGCTGTTTGCTTCCGTTACCTTTGAAGTTATAGAAGAAAGTAAGGTACGTCTGAATTATTCCCTACTGATCAGCTGTAACCGTTGGATCAAATCATACTCTGAGAGCACGCTGAGTCTGAGAACTCCGCTGTAGTAGGCTTCTCAAGTCTAGTCCTGCTCCTGGAAGGGGCTGGGAAGTCTCGATGTAACTGATCTGTTCTGGTTGACATAGCCTAATAAGCTCTGACTCAAACTTAGAAGGCCACAGGTGTGGTCTAAGGCCAGTGCACTTAGTCCCAAAGTCTACGCTGGCCTTCCTGAGAGTGAAATCCCTTCGTTAGCTGGGGGTACTCTTCAGTGGTTGGTATATGTGGCTGTGAAGGATGGCTGTAAAGCTGCTAGCTACCTAGGGAGTGTTTGGAGTCTTGAACTAGTAAGATCCATGGCATCCTCTCCTCTTGAGCACAGCTTGTTTGAACATAAGCTTCTTGGGTTGGCTGCTGCTCCAAAGGAAATTTGGTTGTTGTGTGATTGTTTAGGGTGGGGGGTGTGGAAATGCTTTTTTTGATCTGTACTTAACAGTGCAGAAAACTGTATGTAATGCATTTGTCTCTTGAAAATACCCTGCATTTCTCTGAACTTTTGTTTTGTTGCATTGAAGTTTGTTATGTCTGTCCAGGCTCCTAGAACTCGAGCAGTGAAGAATGTGAGAAGGCATGCATGCTCCTCAATCATAAAGATGTGTCGGGATTACCCTCAGCTTGTCCTGGTATGTAAATTCAACTCTCGTGAAGACTCTTGCTTCAATTCCAGATGGATTTTGTGGGATCTTCAGCTTTCTTGGCTACAGCCTGTTTTTCTTCTAAGAAACATTTCTGCTGCAGAAACGGCAAAGTATTTTGTTTCCTGCACTTCCCTTCTTCCCTCCCCACCCCCGAAAAATTTTCTGCCTGAAGAGTTGAATTGTAAAGTGATGAGTTAAATGCAAAAGGGATGATGAGGAGGATACAAGCAACACTAGATTCATTTTATGGGAATGTTTGGTTTGTCACTTGTGGTGGTCTCAATTGATTCCTTGGCTGAAGATGCTAGCAATGACTAATCTCCAGACCTTCTTCTGTTACTTAACAGAACATAGGAGCATAGGAGTATTTGTTTTCTGGATTATCTTGAGGAGACTAGAAAAAACACACGTGTTTAAAATCCATTAGCTGGCATTTTCTTTGGTTTTACTGAACTTGAGCAGCCTGCATAAAACATGCGTAGCTCTGAGCTCCTTTCTTTAGCGGTGTTTGTGTGGAGTGGCTCTAGGATTGTGGGAGCACCACAGGACATGGCTAGTTTAAGCAAAGACATTTTTTGAGGATGCTAATTAAGGTAATTTAGGGGTTCCAGTCTGTGTTCTGCAATAGCTGATAAGAACTAGTGGGTCTGTCTTTGTCGCACACTGGTCTTTGAACTACAGCTCGCTCCTTGCCATGACATCCTCACTGGAAGAGCCAAGGGCTGAGAGCTACCCCAAAATATGTTCAGATGACTTTGCTGGGGGGATGATTGCTATTGCTCATGCAAAGCTAGAAGAAGACATGATTGCAACTAGAGGGGGGTAGGGAAGAAACTCAACCATTCCTGTGGAGATGGTGATAACCGTGTGAATTGTTAGTAACCTAGTTGTGAGCAAAGAGATGGAGGAGTCCTCAGTCTGGCACTTGAGAGCCAGAAGAGCGAGGTATTTTCTGTGAGCAAATAAAAGCACCAGAACTATTTTGAGGTGTGACACTGCTGAAAGGGATATGACTGCCTAGAGGAGAGAGATTTTCTCTGCTTATTTTGGTCATTCTGGATGCAGTATGATGCTAGACAGGTAGGGAAGAAAAGAGGTTCTTTTAAACTGAACGTTCAGAGAAACTTGAGCCTGAGAAGGAGATGGCTATGTAGAGAAAAGGTAACTTAGACATGCTCCTCCAGTTGTTCTGCACAGTATAGTACACCCTACCTCTGCCCCCCCCGTGGCACTCCC